ACGTATCTAATTCAGGGTTATCCATCTGTCACTGGGCTAGAGGCGGGGGACACTGCAGACAAGTTTCCTTGCTCTCACGTGGCTGGAAACATTAAAAATGTTTTAAGCTTGAAAAATAAAATATGAAAAAAAGGAGAGGAAGATAATGAGGGATAAAATACTGCTTGTCAGCACCCCATTAATGCTACCCAGCGCTATCATAGCCAAATAGCAAAGTAGTTTATCTGATGTTATTATAACTATATCAGCCTTCAGCTGTAGCGGTCTAATTATTTCTGGTGTTAATGGCGGCTCATAGTTCAGCTGCTGTCAAAGAGGCCCGATTGAACCTGCAAACTACTAGCTATACAGGCAGTTTAAAAGTGTCTTTATGAAGCACGAGGGATTTCAGCAGATGCTAAATGCCCGAAGTGAAAGGTTCAGTCCACTGAATGAGCAAAACAGTGGGGGGCTGTGGGGGGTCACTTCTCATTCTGCAGTCTTGTGAACTTCTACGGACACAATTTTATGAAATAAAGGTGAAAATTAAAAAATTCTGACCCAGATTAGGACTCACAACGACTCAGACTCGTGTATTGTTTTCAGTCGGTCATCCTCAGTCATCTCTGGTGAGTTAATGCACATTTAGCAGTGAGTTACTCTTCCATCCTCCTTTGTGTCAGATGGTAATGAGCTGCAAATTCGGTGTGAAGTCACGTTGCTTTTGGTGCCTTTCGTTTGGGTGGTAACCTGATTAAATACATTCACCTGTTCAACAAAAAATTCATTTTTATTAGTAAATTTCTTGATTTTCATAATTCATGCGCGCTTCAGCAAGAACTGTGCAGTTTTCTTAGATTGACAACTTTTTTTTTCAGCTATGGTCCTGTGAGAAACGGAGTACACCATGTGATTGAGAAGCTTGTAGAAACACCTTTCAGTATAAATAACTTGACTTAATTATTTTCTACATCAGTCTCTCACGTCACGCTTCTTTACGGCATTGCTTCAGTTCATCGAGGTTCGCAGGGTTTCTCTTAATGCCCTACCACAGCATTTCAATCAGGTTGAGTCAGCCATTCTGTTGTGACAGATGGCCTCACATTTGACTCTAGAATACTTTGGTATACAGAGGAGTTCATAGTCCACTCAATGACAACAAGGTGCCCTGGCCCTGTGACTGCAAAGCAAGCCCAGATCATCACCACTCGTCTGTCCAAAGGACATTGTTCCAAAAGTCTTTGTTCAGATGCAGCTTTGCAAACCCAAGCTGTACTGCCATGTGCTTTTTAGAGAGAGGAGGCTTTCTTCTTTCAGTCCTTCCAAACAAGCCACATTTGTTCAATCTTTTGGTGTGTTGGTGTTGTTCCTGCATCATCAATACTAATGTTGCTCCAGGATCAGCATCGCAAATGGCCAGGGAGCATTCAGTCAGCATTAGCCAAGAAGTTAATGCTTTTAAAACACGAGTAACCTAAATTTGGCTAATGGCAAACCTAAGTTGATAATGTTCTTTTGTACAAACTGATTAAAGAAAAGAGTTAAAATGTTTACTGTTTGTTGTGGAGGAAAACTTAATATAAACAAACCCCCCACTCCCACATTGCAAAGCTATGACATCACAACAATGTGCTTGATCCCTTTAAAGCCAAATCATATTTGTTAAGTGAGTTTTTGAGATTACATCACAAGTGTGATCTCCCTTCCCTAACCCCACCCCCTGAAAAACCCAAATAAACTGCAGGAGATATTTGTATGGAATAAATTGCAAAAAATATTATAAAATATGATACAAATTTTAACTCATATATGCAAATTAATATTTCATGTTTTTTAAATTTCATCAGAAGATTCACCAAATACTCTATTGTTAAAAAATTGGAATTTTCTGACAATTATTTTGTGATTCATGCTTTGAAGGGTTAAGACGATGCAGGAACACCTACACGGGGATATCAAATACACCACTTTACATTTAACACTACTTTAACACACTATCGGGCGATCGTGGCTTAAAGAGTTGGCAGTTCGTCTTGTAACCGGAAGTTTGCCGGTTCGAGCCCTGGCTCGGACAGTCTCGGTCGTTGTGTCCTTGGGCAAGACACTTCACCTTCAGATTACACTTATAACACGATCCGAACAGCTTTTCAGATGCCTTAAACCTGTGAAGAAAGTCATCTTAAAGTGATGATGCTGTCAGTGTTCTGACAGATGAACTTCTTATTTTGCTACAGGAAGCGTAAGGAGGAGGAGGAGGAGCTGGAGAGGATCCTGCAGCTGTCACTCACCGAAAAGTAATGTAACACCGACAAGGGCAGGCGGAGGCAGGTCTACATTAGGGAACAATCATCTTATTTATTCTGTTTTATTTTTTAAATCCTGAGATGTTAACTTATTACAGACATTTTATTTGTATTTCTCACACGAAGGCTGCTACAACAGAGTGTAAAGGACCTGAATATAAGAAATGTGAAACAGGAAGAGACCGCTACTCTTAAAAAACAACAAAAAATAAACACTATAGTGAAGGAGTGAGACGAAAAGGGATAGTGTGTTTGGTTTTCTTTTTTATTGAATATTTTTCACAGTCTTGCTGTCTTTACTGAGTAATGAATGATCCTTAAACTTTAAACCTATAACATGATCCACAATAAAGATAAAAAATAAAATAAAGTGCAATCTTAATGGAATAACTTATAAAACTATAACATTTCAAAACGTTTATGTTGGCTTACTCCTGTGTGTGGAAAATAAAAAAAAATAACAATGATCCTGGATTGTGTCTGTGGGTTTTTTTTGTTTGTTTGTTTTTAATTTATTAATAAAGAATAAGAAGAAACATCAGTTTTCTATATTTACAATTTAATTATACATTGATCCGAAATAAACAACAGTGCTTTAAGCTTTTGTTTCTTTTGTTTCTTTTCTCTTTTTTTTTTTTACACATTTAAACATGAATAACAGGCAGAAGCTGAGACAAAAACCAAAGCTAATCTGCAAAACCTATTCATGTTACTTTGGCAGTTGATTGTTTTCACCTACGTGAGATTTTTGACATCAGAGTCATCACTTTTGCATTGTGAAAATAGTCATCAATCAATCAGTAAAGCAAGAAAGCACTCAGCAGAGTTGGAATCATATTCAACCCCAGTGACGGCGTTTAAGCTCACTCTTACAAAACTTATGAAAAATACAAAAATGGAGTACAGTGATGCAACGTTGCACATGTAAACAATCTTTCATCAAGAACATATTAAAGACCTTCACTGATAATCTTACAACTCTGCAATGTGAAAATCTTATCTAGCATTGGCCAAGCTTTTTAAAAATATTCTCGGGCTCTCAAACATGTTTCATCCTCATGTTCAGACCCTCCTGCTTCTGGTATTATTACTTTAGCTGTAGCGGTGTCGCTGATGGCCGCCCTCAGCCCAGTCTAAACATCCAGGGCATGACTTTTCATTCATTAACATCCAAGTTCCCGAGGGGGTTGATTACTTTGGTGAACCCTCAGTGTAAAAGTTCCAATACGGATCCATCCACAGGTACAAAGATTTGAACAAACATTTAATCTTTTACAAAGTTTTTGGGACTGACTACGGGATGAAATGTTCAGCTTTTTTATTGACACCCCTCAGCTGGATTGCAATGACGGATGCAGATATTAGTGGTCACTGAAATAAACACAGAAATCCTTTTGATCATCTAGCACCGTCCGCTCATTTGGTCACAATATTTAAGCAACGGTCCAAACTCTCCCATCTTGGAGAAAAATGTATAAATTTCGTTTCAATAAAGCAGAATTTAGCCATTTTCACCGTGAACATTGTGATCTCTGAGCTGTAGGTAAAAGTTTTACGTTATACTTGTCAGGTTACACCAGTCCCTACTTCACGCTGTCGGTTTCTCGGTCGTCCACTGTGCCGTGTTAGATCGTTGTTTTTCCATTCAGTTTTGTTTCATAAGGGGAGACTTTCTCATCAGTCGAAACATAGATGTTTTCTCTCCGTTGTTTTAGGGCTCTCCTGAGCTCATCATCCAACTGAGCTGGTTTAAACAAAAGCATTCAAGTCATTTAGACTTGCTCTTACATTTGCCTTGATTTCTGCCCGTTCGCTTGTTTGTTTTGTTTTTAAATCAACATTCACTCTGCTCACCTAGATTCAGGCTGGAGTCATTGGGATCATCAGGAATGACATATTCTCCCTCATCAGGCTTGTTTGGCAGAATCTCCTCTTTGGTCCGTGACCGCAGCATAGGGGGCACTTGTGCCTTTGGTAGTGGTTTAGGTGCACGTGCGGTTGTGTTGAGGCACTTGGGAGCTGGTGACGCCTCTATTGAACACAATCGGTGGTTAGGAGTTGCCCACTTCACTGTAACCATTTTTAAAAGCAGTACTCTCACCGATCAAAGTGTCATAGGGCTGAGATGGAATGAAAGGACAAAGCCGATACTCAGTTTTTTCAATGAAGTATTTTAGAACATCCTTCAGGGAGCTGACGGTCACCTACAGAGGACGTGTGAAAAAAAAGCCAAAGATAGACTCGGTTAATGATGCTCCCCTTTGATTTATCAGAAGTATCTGTCATTCCTCTATTACAGACAGCAGATTTTATGACACTTCTACAGCTTATAAAATAATAATAAAACAACGATAATTACAGGCGGCCTGTTTAACACTGTAAAGCTTCACTGTTCTGCTGAGACTTGCAAACTGGCAATAATCTGAACTTTGTGCTCCACAGAAATGTACTACATTGCCAAAACCTGGACTTGAACCTAGGACCCTCAGATCTTCAGTCTTTATTAGCTCTGCAGTTTTATTGCTCTATGCAATAAATCACATAATGATTTTCTGCAGCATTTATTAATCCTGTGTCCTTTCTGTAAGTGCATTTTGCTTTTATATATGAGTTTTTGGTCATCATTTGATCAACAACTGATAATGTTGAAATTATTTGACTGTTTTGGTCAGGTGACGGGTCACAGTGCTCTCTCTCATTCTCCATGTGTAGTGCATTGCCGAAATAGCTTAGTTGGGAGAGTGTCAGACTGAAGATCTGAAGGCCCCCTGGTTCAATCCCAGGTTTCGGCATTATACATTTAATCAGAGAAAGGATGATAATGGCCTAATAAAACTGAACCACAACCTCTGCCTTTTAAATCTGACCTGTATCTAAAATGGTTAAATGTTTAAAAAAAAGCCTGAGAGGACATACTGCCCTCTTAGCAGATGTTCAGTCTGGTGCTCTCCCACATGACTACCAAATTCAAGTCATTTACTCAGTTAAAATTACTTGGCACAGAAAGTAAGGACATTCGTGTTTGATCAATAATTTCTTTATTGGAACAGTAGTTCTTGGCAATTAATCTTATGCTGTTGAAAAGTCTGTTTATTTCCCCTTATTTAACCAGTAAATGGTTTAGTAAGAGAAATGCATTTGCACATATGTACACTCCTGCCTTTCCTTCTCTCTTGCTCCCTCCTCATATGCCTTCCCTTTTTCCTCTTCCTCTGTCTTTGTGCTAACAGTTGTACAGTTTCCACTGGCACTCTGTTGGTCAGCAGCACCTGGGTGATGTCAGTTACTGAATCACTTGCCTTTTTTGGTGCAAGTCATGGATGCTTGGTGATACTCCAGTGCTCTCCAAAAGTTGATTCTGTTCATATGAACGTGACGTTTTGTGGGAGAATCGTTTCATCACTCATCCAAGTGACTTCTTCAGTCTCAGCTGACTGCAGGTTTCCCCAATCTTATAAACATTACATTACATAATGACTGAAACCATGCAAATGTACTGTTTATAAGATTGGGGAAACCTGCAGTCAGCTGAGACTGAAGAAGTCACTTGGATGAGTGATGAAACATTTCTCCCACAAAACGCTACGTCTAGATGAACAGAATCAACTTTTGGAGATTTACTTACCTGGATGATTGAGCATGCATCATAATGGCACGCCAGTGCCGAAATAGCTCAGTTGGGAGCGCGTCAGACTGAAGATCTGAAGGTCCCTGGTTCAATCCCGGGTTTCGGCATTGTGCTTTGATTAACTGATTAATAAATCTTTAGAAAAGGTGAACTACAGTATTTTTCTGCAACACCAACCCTCTGCATGTCCTCCTCTACATCCATGAACCTGAACAGAATTGTGTATGTGGGTTGCCCCAGTAAAAAAATCTGGTTTCATCTGAAGTTAATCCCATTTTAATTGTTTTTCCTGTGAGTTTCTAGGCATGGATCGTGACTTAAAACTAGCCTGAGGTTTGTTCAAGTGAGGCGAACACATAGGTCCTTCTGCTGAACATGTTTGTTGCCGAAATAGCTCAGCTGGGAGAGCGTCAGACTGAAGATCTGAAGGTCCCTGGTTCAATCCCGGGTTTCGGCATTGTGTTTTGATTATGTGTTAATGCCATCAGGTAAATGTCTCCAAACAACTTACTAAAGTGTTGATCCAAAACCAGTATCGTTAACAACACGATTGATCTGTCCGCCTCTAATTTCACTCACTACACGCTCATGATTCTTCTTTGAATCACTTGTGCTCCTGTGGCTTTGAAGGAACTTTATGTGTAAATGTGTCCTTTAGCTGAAATATATTCTGATTGGTGAGAAGCTGTGAGAGCCTGTAAGGACTTACTGGTGTCTCCAGTTCAATGACAAATCCGACGTTTATTTGGGTCACTCTGTAATTCTTCATTACAGGCCCGCTGAAACAGAAGAAACGTTGTGATGATTATATTACAGTTAAATTACAATGAAATAGCAAAGTTATTCCAATCCATAAAACGGAGAGAGATGTCAAAAATCTCAAAATTTAGAAAGTTATTTGTTAATAACTTGATAATATATGAGAAGCATAATCTCCTAAGTGATAACCAATATGGCTTTAGAGTGAAAAGGTCCACTTCAATGGCAGTGATGGAACTTGTTGAAGGGATATCTAATGCAATAGATAATAAGGAATATACTGTTGGTGTTTTTATAGACTTAAAAAAGGCGTTTGATACAATTGATCATTCTATATTAATGAATAAACTAGAGAGATATGGCATAAGAGGGATAGCATACAAGTGGATGAAAAGTTACCTGGATGAAAGATATCAATATGTCGAATTCAATAATGTAAAATCTAAGCAGTTGAAGGTAACTTGCGGAAAAGGAGTTAAATATATTAAAAAACTGGTTTGATGTAAATAAGTTATCATTAAATATAAAGAAAACAAAATTGATTATTTTTGGCACTAGACAAGTGAAAAATGTATCTAAAATAAGGGTTAATGGAATTGAAATTGAAAGAGTGTACGAAAATAAATTTCTTGGAGTGATAATTGATGATAAGCTGAGTTGGAAGTCTCATATAAACCACGTGAAAACAAAAATGTCAAAAACCATTGCTATTCTCTATAAACAAAGCATGTCCTGAACAAAAAATCATTATACACACTTTATTGTTCTCTGTTGCTTCCATATATGACTTACTGTCTGGAGATATGGGGTAATGCATATAAAACGAACACTCTTCATATTTTCAAGTTACAAAAAAGAGCTATAAGAATTATAAACCAATCAAACTATATAGAACCAACTAACATTTTGTTTATTAATCTGAATACCCTGAAATTTTATGATTTAGTTGAATATAAATGGCACAGATAATGTATAAAGCACAAATAACTTGCTTTGCCCCAGTACTCAGAAGCTGTTCAAAGTCAGAGAGAGTCAATATGACTTAAGGGGAACAGATTTCTTTAAGAAAAACAAGATGAGGACAAATATAAAGCAGAGATGTGTTTCTGTTAGAGGAGTTAACCTGTGGAATAGTTATGACAGTGATTTAAAAAGGTGTAGTTCATTTTCCTTGTTTAAAAACATGTTTAAAAATAGAGTATTAGAAAATATATATATCAGAATGAAAAGAACAAAAGGAGAAAAACAACACCTCTTGATTCTTTACTTTGATGTAGTTACTTATCTAAGGTGGAAAGTTTTTTTTTCTTTGTTTTGTTTGTTTGTTTGTTTGTTTTGCTTGGTTTTTGCTTTGTTTATTATTTTCTTCAGCCTGTGTACAGGAGCTGCATACAAAAGATATTTGTGAAAAGGGTTGGCGTAATAAGCAAATGCTTCAGCCATACTTTTGATTAGCCTTGTCTCATGCTTTCTTTCTTTATGGTAGATTTTTGTTCTGTTTTCACTGTTTTTTGTTTTTTTTTCTCACTGTTTTCACTGAGATTTGATTTGATGCTAATCATAAAATCAAATCAATCAATCAAAATTCTTCACAGTGTGTTTTTGCTCAATGGGCTTTCACTGAGCAAAGTTCATATTACGTTCCACTTTCTGTCTGTCCCACTCAATACTGTTTTTATCGCCAGTTAGTTCCTGGTGAACACTTCATTCTCTGTGTCAATGTGTCAGACTTACCAGTAATAATAATAATAAGGTGAATAAATTGTTTGTTGGCATCTTTCAAAGCACTCAAACTCACGTTACATTACGAAATTAGCAGGAACAATATTAAAATAGTTCTAAAACTCAGTAATATATATTATTGTAAGAGATATAAAACAAGACATTTATAGCTGATGTGCTGATGAAATCAGTCAGTACAGGAGAAAATTTATAATACAAAAAGATTAATGGTCAAAATTCAATAGTCATTTATGAGCAGGTATTCTGCATTCAGTGGTGTATATCAGAGGTTTGAATAGATTAGCAGACCTGGATGACACTTGTCTGAGGGTCAAGGCGTAGTTGTTGGGCATGGTGGATGGGCGAAGGATGATGCTTCCACACTCTGGGTTTTCCTCTAGCATCTTCTCAGCCTCCTTTCGAGTCACATCAAAGAAACACCTACAGGATTCAAAGGAAAAACAAGGAGGCACACTTCTATTTTATTGTATTTTAACTGTTTTGAAGCACTTTTTAAAGTCTATCTGAGAATTTTCTGAACCTACAAATGATCAGTGTTTACACAAACAGCAGACAGTGCTTACTCAGCAATCTCAGAGCTCAATTTGTCTTTGGATGGCGGGCCTGAGAGGAAACCTGGTCGAGGTGGGAGCGGTGGACGTGACGATGGGGATTTTCTTTTTATTTCCTGAGTGAGAACCTCCTTCAGCTGTAACACCTGGCCAGGCATCAGCTGCAGCTTACTGGGAAGCTCCTTCTGCAAGGAAACACGAGCTCGACCTCAGTACCATTCAGATCATCTGTAACATGTTCAAAAATATATCCTGATATATTTTAAAAATATATAAATGTTTATTCACTGGCCACTTTATCTGGCACCTTGCTCATTTACACCAATATCTAATCAGTCAATCAAATGGCAGCAACTCAGCACATTTTAGGCATGTGGACACCGTCAAGGTAACCTGGTGAAGTTCAAACTGAGAAAGAAAAAAGGTGATTTAAGTGACTCGGCCTTTGCTGTTGGTGCTGAATTGGCAGGTCTGATTATTTCAGAAACTGCTGATCTTTTGGGATTTTACCATATACCTGACGGCTCATTTCAACTAAGGTAGAAGAGCATCTTTGAATGCACAACACATCCAATCACAAAAGACAACACCAGGCGTTCAGCTACAAACAAGAAACTGAGGGTCATCATCACTGAACAGAAAAATGTTGCCTGGGTCTCGATTTCTGCTGTGCAGTAATAATGCGAAGGACTTCAGACTTTATCTGTACCAGGTGAACATTATTTAAATACCACTGTCTACATCACTGTGTGTGTGTAATATCCTGTATAAATGGAAATAATTGTGCTGAATCAATTAGATCGGCGTGTGTTTGCTCACCTTGACCACAGTCAGGATGAAACCCCTCCACACCTCTCCCATGTCTGCACTGTCCATCTACACACACACACACACACACACACACACACACACACACACACACACACACACACACACACACACACAGTTGATAAAAAGCTGGTGCGATGTATAGTATTGATCCATCCAGTGATTAATTATAAGATTAGATATTAGATGTAATTGGATCATTTGAAGTGAGTTTTATCACAACAGACCTTAAGTTGCACCTTCTCTGTGCTGAGGCTGAGAGTGAACACAGTGGGTTCCTTCT